CTTTGGAGGGGCTGAGGAGAGGTGAGGCGGGGGGGTGGAGCGAGTCCTCCGTGTGGAAACGCTGCTAGAAGTTCGCTTTCAGGGTTTGTTTAGATGCATTCGTCTGCGGCAAGGCGCTTTTGAACTGAGAAATGATACTTCCCAGGTACGAATGAGATGAAGCGAGTACCTCTTTTATGGGTGATTTTTGGTAGCGTTCATTATGTAATTCACGTAGTAGTTATCTAAAATAAAACTGGTCTATTCTGCAAGTACTGTCAAAAGGCAGGCAGGGAGAACCTGGGAAAGTCGGATGAAACAGACACTTCCTCCTTAAATCCGTAGGACAGCGGGTAACACGGAAAGAATGGGGTTAAGAGGCATTCAGAAAGGCAGGGATCCCCCGAGCTCGCTGCCCTGGACATACCCACCCCTGCTGTCAGGCCAAAGGAGAGTTGCTCGTTGGTCAAAGCACTTCAATCCTATTATTTAGGGATTGTTTATTACAAGAACATCATTATTTACTACAGGCACATCAAGGAAGACACTGCAACTAGTGACTATCAAAAGGAGGAAACTCTGGCAGAGGTTAACAGGTAAGAGAGACCGAGTGAAACAGCAGGTAAATGTGAAGTGTTGAAATATTGAAGAGGGGAAGCCATAGTCTACTGGGATAGTAACTAGATGGCCAGCTAGTCAGCTGATAAAAGCAATCAAAAGGCAAGTATGTGCAAAGTGAACAGATTTGTTTAGCAAAGAAGAGCTGCAAAGGAAATCCTACCCTGAATATGATTTCTCTGAAGTGCCTGGAATGAATAGACATTATCATCTAAGACATACTTGTATTAGATAACCATATTGACCTTGAAAGAAACTGATCAAACAGCCTTGAAATGAAGCAGTACTCAAAACAGAAGTATTTTAAACCTAGGATAAAAACCGTACAGTCATTGCACAGTGCAGTAGGCCAGCTGCCAGAAGAGTGAATCAGTGGTGTGATTGCTTATTCTGTCATAATAAAATACTTTTCCTCAAAAGATAAGACACTGTTGGTTCCAATTTTTGCTCTAAGAGCAAGTACAGTTTCCTTCAGGGTTCACACTGCTGTGATTAAAACAAACAGTATAGTCCTGAAATCTCATGCTGAAGTTCTGAAAGGGTCTGAATAATTTAGTTATTAACCTAGAGAACTTCACTCTGGGTCTTGATCAGTACTGATTGTGTTACACATTAGTCTTCTGAATAAATATTTTCTGAGTAAGAGTGGTGTATTTCAAAGCCTATGGTAATGGAAGCATTTTTCATCCAAAGCCCAGATTTTATAAGCGAGACAGCTGTGAATATCAGCTGTTTTGCTTCAAACCTTATGTAATATCATGATCTTATTCATCTGTCCAAAAATGGTCTCACCCCCTCCCTTTTTTTTTCCCACTTGGCGTTTCATCCATTTTGCTTTCTCTGACGTGTTTGGAGAGCTGCTCATTTTTGTGATAAATATAAGAGGTTGAAAGTGCTGTTGCATGAGGCCAGGCAAGGACAGTACATCTTACGATTTACGCATTTATCCTCCAGCTGTTTTACTGTTAAAATCAAATGGAAGAAAAAAAATCCAAATGCTTCTTGGCTTACCAAATTGTTTCACTGTATTTCAGTGATGGCTTGAAGAACTGTTGTTGATATGACCAGGCAGATATGCTCATCAACAACATACTTAATTGCATCCTCTTTATTTCTCCCAAAATTCGTCTGGGATGTACTGAGAGGTGGTGGTGATCCCCAGTACCACTGTTAAAACTCCAAGCTTCCTTCAGTGAAGCCGGCACCTGGCATTTCACAGTTTTGGATCACTTCTCTATCCCCAGTTCTGTATTGCAATTAATGCTGATTTCTGCCCTGATGTCCTCCCCCCCAAAAAAACAAAACCCCAAACCCTTTGCATTTTGGAATGTTTATTTTTCCCCTCTCTTTAGGGAAATACATTTCCCTTTTAAAATGTGTCACTACTTTTCTTTACATTTCTTAACATAATGTAATCTAATGGTAAGAGCTGCATAATTTCAATACTTCTGAATTTCTTTTATGGTACAAAGCTCCTAATAGCTGCCTTTGTCTTTTAAAACATTTTTCTGTGACCAATTCATTACTTTTGAAAAGTTCAGTCTTTTAAGTCGATGAAGTAGTGTCTCTCTTTTTCTTAACCTTTATATTTCTTCTACTAGAATGTTTTTAACCTTCACTTCTCTTTTTCATCTCATGGCATCAAGATGTTCCTCTCTTGGCCCCCACCAATAATTCACTTGTGTGAAGGTTTAGTTATTTGACAATGTGTGTTTGCTGCTTTTAGCTTCACATTCTCTGATTATCTCGTCTTTGTTTCTCTGTCACAAGTCCTAAGCTCCACAACCTTGTCTTCATTTTCTTCACTTCGTTTAGGTCGGTCTCACTCAGCTTCTCTGCCCGGTCAATCCAGTATCCCCCAAGCGAGGCACCCAGGGAATCTGTGTTTATCTGTCACGAAACTAATCTGCAGCCACCACTTGACTATAGCCCAGTTGAGTGTGATGGGGACATATGTACGCAAGTCCTTTTGTCATGTTAGTGAATGGGCAGGCTCCATGTGATGATGATGCCTATAGTTTGTGTTTAGGGCACGTCCGGCTACATGACAGGAGGAAGGCTGCAGGGCTCTTGCAAGGGAGAACAGCAGGGAGGCTGCCGTGGGTTAGTGAATGATTTGTGTGGCTGACAGCCTCCTTCCTGACCAGCTCTGAGGGACTCTCAGGAACAAAGATGACAGGCTGAGTTATGTGTTCTGGCACATCATGAGCTGGCTATCCTTGCTTTAATTATCTCATGCTAAAACCTTAATTTTCGTAAGGAATGTGAAATCCCAGTTGTATTTAATTTAGGTCTCTTACGATTCTTTAGTCATTGCTCTGTTTCTCAATTACCGCCCAATGTTATGACAGAAGTTTTTTGATTCTCTTTCTGTGGAAGGAAATGTCCCCTATTTAGCTTGGCTTTTATGCAACATTTAATGATTGCTTCCCCATGGCAATTGTCGATGAACCTGGGACAACACAAATCACTGGTACACGTTCACTTTTTTTTGCGGCAACCCAGGTCACATTCCCATAGTCATTCAGCAGACTAGAAGACATAATCCACTTCTAGAGCTCATTCCCTTTTTTTTTTTTCTTTTAACCTCTCAGGATGATGTGGACAGCTCTCTCCTTCCAGCATAGCACAGTAATCTATAAAATGAAAGTTCTGTTTGCTACAAAAGCCCTCATATCACATTAACAAATTGCCATATTAAGCCTTAGTAAAACCAGTTTTTCCTGTGCAGAGGAAGGAAGTCTTACCCTGGCCAACAGAACCTTAATGCTTTGTCTTTTCTGCTAGATCTCAAGTTCTTTTCTTCCCACACTTTAGGAGGAGATTCTGTACTTACAAGCCCATAGAGACAGTGCTTTTGCCTTCTTCCCTCCTATTTTCTGTGCATTGCTTTGATTTTCCTTAGGGTTTTAGAATGCTGCCCGTCTCTGTAGTTCCCAGCACTCAAAATTCATGGCAGATGTTGAACTCATTCTGCAGGTTAGACTTTTTGCTCCCTCCTTTCCTCAACCCAGCTTGTAGAATTTGTCGATCACATGCTGGGTGAGGCAATTCTCAGTTGGCTGAGCTTCCATGATTTTTGGTGAAACTTACTTTTCTTTGTCAGCTGTTTAGTTCCTCTGCTGTAAGAGGGTGTGACATTTGGGTGGTTCCCAGGAAAAGCTTTTCCTGAACACAGGGTATGCCACCGGCACAGCCAAGTACCATTGCTGTTCCTTTATGTCAGGGTTTTTTTTTAAGTCTTCTAAATCTTTAAATCACTTTACTATCTTTTAATCACTTTGCTGTGTGCGAGCTTCTTTACTGCCTTTCATTGTGTCTTCACAGCTGTCATCCAGGATTCCTTTGGTGATTTATTATTGTCTGGCATTAACTCTAGAATTAATGTAAAACATTGCACTTTTTGACAGGCATTTTATTACTAAGCTAATTTTATTTTTGGTTTTGGGTCTTGTTTGTTTTTTTTCTTGTTTTTGGTCAAGTTTGTTTTCAACAGTCTTTGTAGCCTTAAAGTGCAGGTACCTGGTATCAGCTGTTAAAATGCTATAAGATTTGTTTTCAAGTTGGCTAATGCTATGTTTTAAAACATAAACTATGAGATACTATTACAAATAGCAATAGTGTATTCTTTCACCAGCAGCAATGAAAGAGTGGTGCAGCTGTGAAAAGTTTTTTTGAATTTTAAGTATTAATTAAAATAAATAGATTTTAAAATTAAGCACTGTGGGCTAGTAAATTGCACTATAACTTCTAATACAATGAGTAGTCTTCTCAAAGGGACTTCCTGATTTTGGTTTTGAACACCATGTAGAAATTTTTAAAATTAATTTTCGTTTTAAATGTTATTAGTGGTACTGAATGTATTTTGAAATTAGACTTACTCTGATGACTACGTGTTTCTTCTAGAAAATGAAAGAAATTTGAT